CTCTCTGCCTCTCCTTCTCTCTCTGTGTAACTCTGACTTTCAAAGTAAATAAATATCTTTTAAAAATATCAAAATGCTAAGCTCATCAGTCTTTAAAAAACAAAATAAAAAAATGTACAATTAAATGCTGTCAATCATCACTACCCTACAGTGCTATAAACATTAGAAATTATTTCTCTTATCCAGCTGTACCTCTGTACCCAAGCCATCCTATCTCCACTCTCCCCATCCTTGTTTTTTTCTTTTTTTAAAGATTTATTTATTTAGGCCGGCGCCGCGGCTCACTAGGCTAATCCTCCGCCTTGCGGCGCCGGCACACCGGTTTCTAGTCCCGGTTGGGGCGCCGGATTCTGTCCCGGTTGCCCCTCTTCCAGGCCAGCCCTCTGCTGTGGCCAGGGAGTGAAGTGGAGGATGGCCCAAGTGCTTGTGCCCTGCACCCCATGGGAGACCAGGAAAAGCACCTGGCTCCTGGCTCCTGCCACCGGATCAGCGTGGTGCGCCGGCCGCAGCGCGCTGGCCGCGGCGGCCATTGGAGGGTGAACCAACGGCAAAGGAAGACCTTTCTCTCTGTCTCTCTCTCTCACTGTCCACTCTGCCTGTCAAAAAAAAAAGAAAAAAAGAAAAAAAAAAGATTTATTTATTTATTTGTAAGGCAGAGTTACAGAAAGGCAGAGGCAGAGAGAGAGAGAAGAATCCTCTGGTTCACTCCCCATGGCCGCAATGGCCAGATCTGCACCTATCTGAAGCCAGGAGCTTCTTCTGGGTCTCCCACATTGGTATAGGGGCCCAAGGACTTGGGCCATCTTCTACTGCTTTCCCAGGCCGTAGCAGATAGCTGAATTAGAGCAGCCAGGACTTGAACCGGCGCCCATATAGGATGCTGGCATTGCAAACCAGGGCTTTAACCCATTGCACCACAGTGCTGGCCCCCCATCCTTGCTTTTTATCAAAGATAATAAACATAAGATTCTTACTTGAAAAATAACTTAGGTGAAGCAAAAATAGTAACTGACCATATTGGTCATTCTGTTTGCTGTACTTGAACTTTTGATAAAGAATCTCAAGTTGTACTTGAAAATTAAAAAAAAAAATCTTTTTAAATATTTATTTATTTGAAAGGCAGAGTTACAGAGAGAGAAATCTTCCACCCACTGGTTCATTCTCCAAATGGCTGCAACAGCCAGGGCTGAGCCAGGCCGAAGCCAGGAACCAGGAGTTTCATCCTGGTCTCCCACGTGGGTGTAGGGATCAAGCACCCGGGCCATCTTCTGCTGCTTTCCCAAGTGCATTAGCAAGGAGCTGGATCAGAAGTGGAGCAGCCAGGACTCAAACTGGCACCCATAAAGGATGCCAGCACTGCAGGTGATGACTTTACCTGCTATGCCACAGCATCAGCCCCTAAAAATTTTTTTGGAAGCAGAGAGACACACAGACACAAAGATAAGATAGAGAGAGAGATTCCTTCCCCGCCCCAATCTTCTGGTTCACTGTACAAATGCTTACAATGGCTGGGGCTAGTCCACACAGAACCTAGAAATCAGGAACTCAATCCAGGTTTCTCATATGGTGAACTTAAAAAAAAATAAATTATTTTGGGCTTTATTTTTATTTATGTATTTTAAAATATTAGGTTAACATGTAATAATTTATATTTTTACGGGTACAATATTTCAACACGTGCACAGCTTAAACAGATCATATCAGGAGAGTAATCTTTCCTTATCTTTTCTTGTGTTTGGAAGCTCCCAGCTCTTCTCTTGAGGAGCGTATAACGCCCACTTCTTGAGTGTAGACAGATTACTGTGAACTGTGACCATCCATCTGTGCTGCAGAGTGCGGGAACTTGTTACCTCCACTGACTGCACCTTTCCAGTGTCTACTCACTGTTCTACACTACGCCACAGCACTGGCCCCCAGTGTGACATTTAGTATGTGTGTACAATGAGTGTGTTTCCAGTTTCATGTATTTGTAAATTTTTCAGTATTCTTTTTTTCAAAAAGATTTATTTATTTATTTATTCATTCATTCATCTAAAAGAGTTACAGAGAAAGAGGGAGAGAGAGAGAACTCGATCTTCCATCTGCTGCTGCACTTTCCAGAGGGCCACAACGGCCAGGATTGGGTCAGGCCAAAGTCAAGAGCTTCTTCTGGGTCTCCCACATGGGTAGCAGGGGTCGGTGAAAGTAGACCAGCCTCTACTTCTTTCTCCAGACCATTAGCAGGGAGCTGGATCTGAAATGGAGCAGCCAGCACATGCACTGGTGCCCACTGGGAGGCTGGCATTGTAGGCTGTGGCCTTACCCACTGCACCACAACACCAGCTTCTCCAGTATTCTTATTAATTTCTGGTTTTATGAATTATGGTCAGAAAAGATACACGATATGATTTAGATTTTTTGAATTGGTGGTTCTGTGGCCTCATGTATGGTCTATCCTAGGGAATCCATATGCCGATGGAGAGAATATTGGATGTTCTGTAAATGTCTCGTAGGTCCATTGAGTGAGTGTGCAGTTAACTGATGTTTCTGGTTTTTTTTTTTTTTTTTGGTCTGGATGATCTGTCCATTGATGAAAATGTGATGTTGAAGCCCTCCAGTAGTATCATATTAAAGCTCTTTCTTTAGGTTGAATTACGTTTGATTTCTAAAATTAAGTGCTCTGGTATTAAGTGCACATCTGTTTGTAATTATCGTATCTTCTTATTAAATTGATCTGTTGATGATTATATAGTGAACTTGTTTCTTTTTACAGTTTTTGTTTCAAGGTCTATTTTGTCCAATATAGGCATAGCTATTCTTCTCACTTTAGTTTCTGTTTGCATAGAATATCTTTTCCACCCTTTCATTTTCAGTCTTATGTATCTTTGCTGGTGAAGTGAGTTTCTTATAGGCAGCATATTATTGGGTCTTTATTATTACTTACCTATTCATCTACTCTGTATCTTCTAATTGTGGCATTAATCCACTTACATTCAGAATTATTATTGATAGGTAATGACTTAGTCCAGTAATTTAATTTTTTTCTTCCATTTATTTTGAGTATCCTTTGTTCCTTTTCTGATGGGCTTTATACTTTCACATGTTTTATAATTTTTTTTTCTGTTTTTAGGATTCCCTTAAGAATCTTTTGTTACAAAATAATCTTGTAAGGCCAATCTCTTTTTGCTTGCCTTGAAAAGTCTTTATTTCTCCTTCATTTATGAGATAAATTTGATGGGTAAAGTATTCTTTGCAATTTTTTTTCATTCATAACATGGACTACATCATGCCATTCTTTCCTGTTCTGTAAAGTTTCTGTTGAAAAATCAGCCATTAATCTAATGAGAGTTCCATTAAATGTATGTAAGCTGACACTGTTCTTTTGCAGTTTTTAGGATTTCTCTCTCTATGTTGTACTTTTGAGAGTTTTGACTTTCATGTGACATGGTGAGGATCTTTTCTGGCCATGTTTATTTGGGGACCTATGATTTTCTGGTATTTGAATATCTTTCTCCACATCAGGGAAGTTTTCAGCTGTTATTTCATTAATAGTTTTGTTTTTTTTTTTTTTTTTAAAGATTTTTGTTTATTTGAAAGTCAGAGTTAGAGAGAAGGAGAGGCAGAGAGAGTTCTTCCATCTGCTGGTTCACTCCCCAGGTGGCTGCAATGGCTGGAGCAGCACTGATCCAAAGCCAGGAGCTTCTTCTGGGTCTCCCATGCAGATGCAGGGGCCCAAGGACTTGGGCCATCTTCTACTGCTTTCCCAGGCCACAGCAGAGAGCTGGATTGGAAGAGGAGCAGCCGGGACTAGAACTGAGGCCCATATGGGATGCGGGCGCTGCAGATGGAGGATTAACCTACTGTGCCATGGCGCCAGCCCCTATTAATAGGTTTTTTATTCCTCTATCCCTCGCTTCTCCCCCAGAGATTCCCTAATTTGAACGTTTGTTCATTTAATGGTGTCTCAAAGGCTATCTTCATTCTTCTCTTCTCCTTTTTCCTCCCTGTTTACTTCTTCCCATCCTCTCCCCCTTCTTTGTCTGACTGGGATATTTCAAAAACCTGTGTTTAAGTTGAGATATATACTTCCTTGATCTAGTCTGTTGTTGAGGGTTTTGTATCGGACTTGTTGAGTTCGTTCATTCGTTCTTTCTTTCTTTCTTTCTTTTTTTTTTTTATTTGACAGGTAGAGTTAGACAGAGAGACAGAGAGAAAGGTCTTCCTTCCCTTGGTTCACTTCCCAAATGGCTGCTACGGCTGGCGCTGTGCTGATCCAAAGCCAGGAGCTAGGTGCTTCCTCCTGGTCTCCCATGCGGGTGGCAGGGGCCCAAGCACTTGGGCCATCCTCCACTGCCCTCCCAGGCCACAGCAGATTGCTGGACTGGAAGAGGAGCAATCGGGACTAGAACCCAGCGCCCATTTGGGATGCTAGTGCCGCAGGTGGAGGATTAACCAAGTGAGCCACGGCGCCGGCCCTGAGTTCTTTATTTCTAATATTTCTATCTGGTTCTTTTTTCAAGACCTCTATCTCTTTGCTGACTTTCTCATTATCTTGCACCAATTTCCTGATTTTGTTTAACTGTCTGTATTCTCTTGCACCTTTTAAAAAAAGATTTATTTACTTGAAAGGCAGAGCAACACACACACACACACACACACACACACACACAGAGGGAGGGAGGGAGGGAGGGTGGGAGGGAGACAGAGAAATCTGCTGGTCCACTCTCCAAATAGCCATAATGGTCAGGACTGGGCCAGGCCAAAGCCAGGAGCCAGGAATTTCATCCAGGTCTCCCACGTGGGTGACAGGGGTCCAAGAACTTGGGCCATCTTCTGCTGCTTTCCCAGGACCTGGATCAGAAGTGAAACAGGCAGGACTAGGACTGATGCCTACATGGGATGCCAGCATCACAGGCAGCAGGCATAACTCACTACAGCACTACGCTGGCCTCTCTTGCATCTTTTTGAGTATCTGTAGAATCATTATTTTACATGATCAGACATTTCATTAATCATTAATTATCATTAATTATTGTGTTCTTTTGGGAATGTAATATTGCCTTTATTTTTCATGCTTCTTGTGTCCCTGTGTTGATATTTGCACATCTGGCTGGTCAGTTGTTTTGTCACCTTGAAAAGGTAGCTTCTGTGCATTGAAGACTTTTTCCTAAAGATGAATCTGGCTGTTGGTTTGGCTGCCTACTTTGGCTTTAGTTCAGGTTGGACATTGAAGTGTAATCTCCCTGTGCTTTCTGATGGCAGTGGTGGTGGGGGATTAGGGTGTGTGCTCCTGTCATTCCCAGCAATGATGTGTGGTTCCCAGTGGTCATGCCGGGATCACAGCAGTGCCAGGCCCAAGTCTAGGTGGGTATGCACAGCTGCCCGTGCCCACCAAAGCCAGGGTGGCTCAGGAAGGGAGTCCCAGCAGGGCCTGGCCCAAGTGCAGGGTGTGTGTGCGCATGTGTCTGCTTGTAGCCACCAACGTGAGGGAGAGCTCAGGGCTTGGCACTGCTGTAGGGGAAGCGGTGTGAAAGGCAAGCACCCTCACTTCCAAGGTCTTGGAGGCAGGACCCACCCTAATAAGCTGAGCTGCCTGTCCCCTGTGGGGCAGGACACTGCTTGATAAGGTGATGAGGTCTTGGTTGCTGCTGGTGTGCGAGGCTGCTGCCTGTTTTGTTAGTTGTGTGGAAAGTCTGTGGAGTCCCATGGATGGGGAGATGAAGGGGTTTTTGTCCCTTACAGAAGCCTGGGTTGCGACAGTGACTCCTTTTTCAAGATGGAGTCACATTTCCAGGGCTTGTTCCTTGGGGTCTTGTGGGAAGACAATGTGAGCTCCTTTCCAGAAGCAGAATTACTGTGTGTACTCCCAAGTACTCACTTCCCTGGGCTGTCAGTCTGGTGACTGTGGGTCCCTTCTGTAGCTAAGAATGCTGGTATCTGGTGTTGCATGAGATGATGTCCGATGAAGCTCCCCTGTGTAACCTTTGCCCTGCAGTGGGGATCTCTCTGAGCTGTGGGGCCGTGGCGCAGTTGCTGGTGCCCTCACTTCATGCAGTGGGGATCTCTCTGAGCTGTGGGGCCGTGGCGCAGTTGCTGGTGCAGGGTCCCTCTATGCACTGGGGCTCTCTCTGAGCTGTGGGGCCGTGGCGCAGTTGCTGGTGCACTCACTCCATGTAGTGGGGATCTCTCTGAGCTGTGGGGCCATGGCGCAGTTGCTGGTGCAGGGTCCCTCTATGCAGTGGGGATCTCTCTGAGCTGTGGGGCCGTGGCGCAGTTGCTGGTGCAGGGTCCCTCTATGCACTGGGGCTCTCTTTGAGCTGTGGGACCATGGCGCAGTTGCTGGTACACTGTCCCTCTGTTCTGCATCAATGCGGTTCCAAGTCTCTTGTGCTGAGTTGGTGTTCTTCCTAAAAATGCGGTTGTTTCCTTATTTTGGTTCTTCTCTGTGGAGGCTGTTTGAATCCTGGGCATCTCTGTCCATCGCGGAGACTCTAAAGCCAGTGAAATTAAGATGAGCTTCCGGTCGGAGGGTATATGGTTGACTTTGTCTCCCCAGACCGGGCTCACTGTGCTCCTGCTTCCCGAGGCGGGGCGCAGAGGCTCATGGGAAACGTAGTCTTCCGCCTCTCATGACATCGGCAGCACAGGATCTTGGGAAAGGCCCTCCAAGCTCCTTCTGCGCATGTGCGGCCCCGCCCACCCGCGCCATCTTCCTGGAAATTGCAGATGCTGCGCTCTCCCGACGCTGTTCCGCGCGTTCTGGGTTGGGCGTCAGTGTAGCCGCAGGTCGGTGTGCGGGTGAAAGGGGCCCTGGGGAGCATGACGGGTCTCCGTGTGGTGGGAGCGAAGCGCCGGTGGGTCTCGGGCGGCGGGGCCTGACGCGCAGGTGCGAGCGGCGGGCCCGAGCCGGCCCGGAAGGTGACACTGGGGTCAGGTCCTCTGGTCCGGCGCTGGAGGAGCAGTGGCTCGGGATGGGCGGGGGCCGCCTTGACAGAGAGCGGTGTGCTGTCAGGAGGCCGGGTGTGCTTCCAGGAGCTCTGCAGATGGGGTGGCAGTGGAGCCGGGGCGAGCCCCAGCGTGGGCGCGGAGGAACGGTGTCGCAGGAGCTTAGCTGTGGGCGTCGCAGGAGTCATGTGCAGCCAGGTACTGCCCGTTCCGCTTGGTAGTCATTGGGTTGGTGTCGGGCGGGGAGGGGGATAACGTTCACACCGATGGAACTCTTTATTCACGCAGCGATTCACGTCGTGAGGCTGAGAACCAGGGAGAGGGAGTCGGGGTTGGGCCGGCGCGGGGAGCCCTCATTCTGCAGGGGAGTTCAAGCAGCGCCCGCGGCTGCAGTCGCCAGGGTGACGCTGACTGACAGGGCCATCTGCAAGCTGGACGGTTCCTTTTCCCCGGCGTTTTGGCTGGGGCGTTTCTAGTTGCACCACCCCTGGTGTTAACTTGGATTCTGGTTGGCTGATATAATTCCGTCTCCTTGGGTAAACGTGTTTGTTTTGGTGACTGAGGCTTTGCTTACTTCCGTTCTGTGTTTCTCAAACTGGAGTCAGTCTTGCTGTGTCCCTGAGTATGAGGCGGGGTGTGAGGTGTGGGTCCACACTCCAGCTCTGCTAGGGCGTCCTGTGACTCCGTGCGAAACGTTTGCCATCTGAAGGTGAGTGTATGGAGGCCGGAAGTCAGCGTGGAGTGCTGTGGCAGTGCGTTTGAGGGGTTTCAGTGTGTGTGCGGCAAGTGCGCTTTCTGCTGCTCTCCCAGTTTCCGGAACAGCGAGGGAGGTTAGGGTTAGTAAGGGAGGTTGGGGTAGTGGATGATGATAATTTTTTCTTTGGAATGAAGTAGTTACTGTACTGTATGAGGGGAACTCCACTTGGAAGGATACCCCTTTGGCCAAGTCCCAGAAAGGCAAACATACTAGCTTTGCATAGCCCAAGTAATTATTGATCTGTTTACCCGGGGTGAACAGATTGGAGCGGTACTGCCTTGGCTGGCTCATAAACTCGAAGACTGGGTGATGTGGAAAGGTTTGAACTAACTTTCCTAAGGGAGATGTGAATGGTTTAAGAAAGATAGGCAAAGGCCTAGGAAATGTTTGTTGAGGGTGTGGCCTGTGATGAAGGAGGACCTGTCTACTTTGCTTCCTAACACACTCCCGTTACTTCATTCTACTCATTATTTTCAGAATTAGAGCTCTCTCAGACTGAGTCTGTCACCACCTCTGGAGACGCTCTGATGCTCCCTCTGTTTGTTTGTTTGTTTTTTTGACAGGCAGAGTGGACAGTGAGAGAGAGACAGAGAGGTCTTCCTTTTTCTGTTGGTTCACCCCCCAATGGCCGCTGCGGCTGGTGTGCTGTGGCCGGTGCACCACGCCGATCCGAAGCCAGGAGCCAGGTGCTTCTCCTGGACTCCCGTGCAGGTGCAGGGCCCAAGGATCTGGGCCATCCTCCACTGCCCTCCCGGGCCACAGCAGAGAGCTGGACTGGAAGAGGAGCAACCGGGACAGAATCCGGCGCTCTGACCAGGACTAGAACCTGGTGTGCCGGTGTTGTAGACGGAGGATTAGCCTAGTGAGCCATGGCGCCGGCCCTAAATATTTTTTCTGTTAATGACAGTGTACTATTTCTTCCTTTGATGTAGAATAATTTATTCTTAAAATTTTAAGTTGTTTCTTTTCAATAAAATTAATTTGTACAAAATCAGTAGCAGATAAATGTTTTTCTTAACCTAATGATAACTTGTGTTTATCCCCTACCAGTTAGTAGAATTGAGGGTGCTCTTTCAGTGTGGTCTTTCCTGCCCCCTCTGATGTATTTTCCAGCTGATGTGTCCCTTGTTCTCTGGCCTCCCCAGACCTTATTTTGTGCAGTGGAATCTCGGAGCGAGTGGGACCGTTTCTCTCACTGATGCCCCCATTTGCCTTCTCTTCCAGGTGTAATTCCAGAGTCATCTACATACTTAAAAGAACAAAGAAAATGAGCACATCGCCAGTAAGTTGTGTATTTCTCAGCTTGTTTTACACTGTATTTCAGGAGCTTTATGAGGATTCGTTAACTGAAATAGAAAAATAAGAAATAAAATTCAGCATCAGAAGAATATACATGAACAAGATTAAGTTGGCTTGGTTATAAGACTTTAGAGCCATCTAAGCTGAATGCAGTTCGGTTTCTGGCTTTTTGGACCAAAAAGACACACGATTACATGAGTTCAAATTGACCTTAAGATGAGAACACGCTAAATTATCTTGGGATTTGAAGTATGAAGCAGAATTTTTATGGGTCACAGACAGGATGTGATAGACAGTGTTTGAGTTCCAACCTGGAAACCATGCATTTCTCTTAGCTTCCTGTGTATATGGTTGTACGACAGACTGACCAAAGTGTTGTTTTCAGGCAAATATTTCTATTCATGTGTACTGTAACTCATGGTGTAGTCTTACTTCAGTTCTTCAGCGTTTCAGTCAAATCCAAAGACGATGCTCTGGGTTTTCATTGCTTGAGTCTTCAGCTGTATTTGAAACTACTGTCCCTGTTCTTTCCTTAACATTCATAGCTCATTCAAGTGCTGCCTCTGATCCCCATTCATCTGTCTCTGCAGTGCTCCTCGATTGCACTGCTTCTCTCCAGTAGGTACCTCTTCCCTAGCCGTTAGACCATGGATTCAGTTCCCTGTCGAATGCTTTTTTGTTGCTGCCCACAGGCATCTCAGGCTCAACAAATCCAAAGTGAAAACCAGATCTTTCATTTTCCCTTATACTCATATGACCCAAACCACCAAAATGGGAATTTTCCTGAACTCCTCCTCTCTCTTGAATTTCATCCCAGTTGGCAGCAAGTCCGCTGCTTTCCTTTTCCTTACATTACTTATTCTAACGCCTGCATCATTGCATGTAAAGGAGGAAGAGCTGTTGCTGCTGAAAACCCAGTATTTAACTTTTTCAAAAAGGTTTATTTGAAAGGCAGAGAGAGAAATCTTCTACTCAGCATTTCACACCTCAAATTTCTGCAACCGCCAGGGCTGAGCCAGGGTGAAGCCAGAAGCCAGTAACTCCATCCAAGTTTCCCATGTGGGTGACAGGCCCGAATACTTGGGCCACCAACCCCTGCTTTTCCAGGTGCATGAGCAGGGAGCTGGATCTGAAGTGGAGTAGCTGGGACTTAGAAACAGCACTGAGATATAGGATGCAGGTGTTCAGGTAGCTGCTTAACTCACTGCTACAGTGTGGCCCCTAACTTTTTTTTTTTTGTTAACCTTGGAACTGTCCCCCTTGGCAGAAACTAGAGTGTATTTGCTCAGCTGTTCCTAAGGTGGAAGCCTTAGGAGCCCATGGGAGGAAGCATTGAGGAGTTAGTAGGGTGCATGTGGAGAGTCAAGAGAAAGATACAAGAGTTCAGGTTTTAATCATTTGTACCTTTTGTTCATATTCGTGTATATAATATATATTGAATGTATGTGCGTCTGTCTGTAGTTTCTACCTATGTTGTTGATACAATTGTGTGTTTCTAGCCCAAGTGATTTGTCGTATTTTCAAACTCCTTTAAAGATTCTGTTATTTTAGCTAATCACTTAGAAATGAATAGGAGGGCCAGCGCTGTGGCGTAGTAGGTAAAGCCGCCGCCTGCGGTGCCGGCATCCCGTATAGGCGCCTGTTTGAGTCCTGGCTGTTCCACTTCCCATCCAGCTCTCTGCTGTGGCCTGAGAAAGCAGTAGAAGATGGTCCAAGTCCTTGGGCCCCTGCACTTGCATGTGAGACCTGGGAGAAGCTCTTGGCTTCTGGCTTCAGATGGGTGCAGCTCTGGCCGTTGTGGCCATTTGGAGAGTGAACTAGTGGATGGAAGACTTCTCTCTCTCTGCCTCTGTCTCTCTGTAACTCTACCTTTCAAATAAATTTTAAAAATAAAATAAATGATTAGGGAAAAAATAGATGTGTGTATCAATCATAACTCTGATTACAGACTAGAATTGTAGTTAATAATTGGTTAAAAATGAACTTCTAATTGTGATAAAATATACCTAACCTAAAATTTCACACCATTTTTAAATGCGCAGCTCAGTGACACTAGGTATATTCAGATTACCCTGCAACACCTGTCTTCAGAATTTGTTTTTCCCAGATGAAACTTTGTATACATCAGACGCTGACTGTGTTCTCCCTCACTGTGACCCTGGTGGTCACCAGTCCACTTTATGTCTGAATGTATCTAGTCCAGGAACCTCACGTGAGTGGAATCATGCAGTGTTTGTCGTCTTGCACTTGGCTTACTTCATGTAGCGCAATGTCTTCAGCATTGATCTGTGTTGTGTGATTTGTCAACATCCCCTCACTCTCCAAAGCTCTCAGTACCACATTGTATATAGTTGTGGTTTGTCTCCTCCAGAACGCAGCTGGGCTTTCCTGCTCTTGGAGGTGGTCAGGGTAGATGACTTCACGACTGTGGTGTTCAGTGTGCGGTGATGAGGGTCAAGTGAGATCTTCTGGGTGCAGCACTCATGATTGAAGGAATGCTGGTGGCTTTGTAAGAATTCAGAGACCTGAGGAGACACAGTTGCATTCCTGTCTGCTGTGCTACTTGGGACTGCCAGCAAGCAGGCCTTTGGCCAGAACCACAAACCAAAAGAAGCCTCTTTCCCTTGTAACTTGCTTAGCCTGTGGTATTGTGGACTGGCAGCACAGAAAATGGACTAGGAGCTGGCACTGTGGCTCACTTGTAATCCTCCATCCCATAGGGCACCAGGTTCTAGTCCCAGTTGCTCCTTTTCCAGTCCAGCTCTCTGCTGTGGCCTGGGAAGGCAGTGGAGGATGGCCCAGGTCCTTGGGCCCCTGCACCCACATGGGAGACCAGGAGGAAGCTCCTGGCTCCTGGCTTCAGATTGGTGCAGCTCTGGCCGTGGCAGCCATTTGGGGAGTGAACCAACGGAAAGAAGACCTTTTCCTCTCTCTCACTGTCTAACTCTGTCTGTCAAAAAAAAAAAAAAAAAAAAAAAAAAAAGAAAGAAAAAAGAAAATGGACTAGTAGCACCTGTGTACATATTACATTTGGTATATCCAGTCTTCCTTCCAGAGAAGCGTGCAATTGCTTCCCCCTTCCATCCACTGGAAGTAATGCTTCTGTGGACATATGTGTACAAACATCTGTTCTAGTCCCTGCTTTGACTTCCTTTCCTTTGGGTGTATCCTCGGGAGTGGAATTGCTGGGTCCTGTTATAATTTTATGTTTAGGTTTTTCAGGAATCTCTATGAATTCTTCTATTTATTTGAAAATCAGAGTTACACAGAGAGGAGAGGCAGAAAGAAAGATAGAGAGGTCTTCTGTCTGCTGGTTCACTCCCCAGTTGGCTGCAACAGCCCAGCTGTGCTCATCAGGAGCCAGGAGATTCTTCTGGGTCTCCCACGCAGGTGTAGGTGCAGGGGCCCAAGGACTGGGGCCATCTGCTACTGCTTTCCCAGGCCATAGCAGAGAGCTGGGTCGGAAGTGGAGCAGCTGGGTCTCGAACCGGCGCCCCTATGAGATGCTGGTGCTTCAGGCCAGAGCGTTAACCTGATGTGCCACAGCACCACAGCGCCAGCCCTTCTCAATACATTCTTAAGGTTCTGCCAAGGATGACAGTTTCATACTGCCTTTCTGCACTGGTTCCACGTTTTACATCCACACCAGGGTGTCTTTAGAATTCCAAATTCTCCACGTTGTTGTCAAACACTTTTTTTCTCATGATGGACATTGCAGTTTTCATTTACCTTTCTCTAATGACTGGTGATGTTGAGCATCTTTTCCTGTGTTTATCAACAATTTGTACATCTAATTTGTAGGAATATCTATTTAATCCTTTACCCATTTTAAACCTTTTTTTAAAAATATGTGCTGTATCCTCTGGATGTCAGTCTTGCATGAGCTGTGATTGGCAAGTATTTTCTCCCATTCCAAGGGCTTTTTATTCTGTTGATAGTAGCTTTTGGTGCACAAAGGTTTTTTTTTTTTTTTTTTTTTTTAAGATTTATTTATTTTTATTTGAAAGTCACAGTTACATAGAGAGAGGAGAGGCAGAGAGAGAGAGAGAGGTCTTCCATCCTCTGGTTCACTCCCCAGTTGGCCGCAATGGCTGGAACTACGCCGATCTGAAGCCAGGAGCCAGGAGCTTCTTCCAGGTCTCCCACACAGGTGCAGGTGCAGGAGCCCAAGGACTTGGGCCATCTTCTGCTTTCCCAGGCCATAGCAGAGAGCTGGACGAAAGAGGAGCAGCCGGGACATGAACTGGCGCCCATATGGGATGCTGGCGCTTCAGGCCAGGATGTTAACCTGCTGCGCCACAGCGCCAGCCCCAGAAGGTTTTAATTATATATAGATAATCTTACCATTTTTCCTTTTGTTGCTTATACAGTATCAATGTCATATCAAAGAAGTTATTACCAGACCTATGTTTCTCACTGTTTTTTCTTTTTAATTTTAAATTAGAATTTTAAATTCACAATTATGGTTTGATATCACAACATAAAATATGGGGTGATTGTTTTTAGAAACCAAAATTCAATCTAAATTTCAGCTTGTTTCCAGTTAAGCTTTATCTTTTGTCCCTAATGACTTTATCAGTGTTCCAAATATTCCAATTTCTGTTGGCTAAGGCAAGCCCAGAAACAATTGAGGAAATTAGCTTCGACCTCAAAGGTAGTAAGTAGTAGGAGAGAAATTCTGGCCACATTTAATGTATCACAGATGTCATTGCTACAGTATATTTTGTTCAACATAAAGTCTAGTGTCTGTTCTGATCTCTAAATTCATGGCTAATAAATTTTTCAGGTTCTTACATATTTTGTTTTCTTGATTTCTAATGTCTAATTGCATCATGTTTAGAGATTACACGCTATGATTTTGGTCTTGGGACTTACGGCTCAGTACATCTTGCATCTTCAGGAATATCCACACAGTGCTTTGTAATGCCAGTCAGGTCAATATACTGCCATTCATGTTTATCAGTTACCACAGCAGGAGTATTT